CCTGCCTGCCTGGTTCCGCTCTGCAATATTTAAAACCGTGTTTGTTTTTAATCTTGGTGTATCTCATAATGCATTATTTATACCGCGCGTATTTAGTGTTTTATTGTTTCAAAATGAAACTGTGACAATAGCGAGAGGCAAGATCTCGTTGTTTCGCAATGCCAAGAATCGAACGTTTTGTGGGCCAGTTTGCTTATGCAACGTCCAAAAACTGAAATAAAATATAAAAATATGCGAGGATGAAACTTCCATTCTCATGAGATTTTAGTGTTTATTATTTGAAATGTTTCATCCTGCAAGAATATCACACAGTTTTTACTGTGTTTAATAATACGTAACCAAAATGAAAATCACAGTATTCTTTCTTTCATTCTCCTTTATTACATTTACAGTTTTACTTAATCAATCTCGTAGATTTTCTACCCATCAGAACTGAGGTATTATAGAGCTCATGCAAGGAATGCTTCACCAGCGCAATATTTGTCCGCATGCATTCTTGAATTTCTTGATTATTTTGCTCGTCAAACTCACGTTTTCACTATAAAACAAAGGATCTCTTTCATTTCATCACGTGAAATACAAATAAAAATTCAAAAAGTTTCTGCAAATAATGAGAATTTTCAAATATAAAATAACACTAAACAAAATAAAAATATATTTACACATATATTAAATAGCAACATAAACGTGTTTCAGTGCACAAAAATTAATAAACAAGTTTTTCATTTAGTTTCATTACATAGTAACGAGGCAATGTATGCCCAGAACCAACCGAATTCATGATGTCTCTCCCGGAAGTGCACAGAATGGAAAGCTCTTATACAGGGTGATAATATTTTAGTTATATAAATAAGTTTCGTAAATTAATTTTAATACATTCCTTACATCATCTCAATCACTAAGTATCAGGAAATATTACAGAACTGCCAATGCACTCTTGCATTCAAATGAGTTTTCTACCTAGTGACATTTCGATTTGATTTGCCGCAATGAAGTCAAATGGTTTTTCAAAAGGGCGCGATTCAGGAGAAAAATCCGTTTTATAAATAAGTTTCGTAAATTATTCATCAATTCTATGTATTAGAGGGTGATGAATTTGAATTTCAGGATTGTCAACTCAAAAAATGTAGACTTTAGAACTCAAATAACAAAAAATAAAAGTAAAAATGTCTTTTTTTAGTTTTTGCTTATATTTTGAAACTTTTGGGCTTTGTCGGAATCAGCATATTCACAAATTTTTAAAAAACCAGCAAAACAGTATCTTCTAAACACTTCAACTTCTCCACGATTATTTAAGGCGCTAGAGCGTATTAGGGCGACTTTCTGGTCCTTGGACCTAAACGTAAGAATAGCCCTTGTTCACCATATTATTTCGCGGCTACTGAGACTGCATTATTTGCATTGATAATGACCAACACTCCGCTACTCGCGGAACCAGTAGGGATGCGTTAATACGCAAGGGATATCCGTACTGTCCCAACCTCAGAAACACTAAATATTGCGGGAACAAGGGAAAAGAAAAAGAAAATGCAATCAATATGTTCATACAAGCTTTGTACCAATAATACAATCATTAATGAACCAAATTATGCTATAAATGGAAAATTAAAACTAAAGAGTATTTTAGGCATAAAAAACAAATTTAGGATGGCAACGTCCATAAATATTTCATAAAGTAAGTTTTAGGTTAGAAGAATAGAGCTTCACTGCAGAATAATATGATAGAATTCGCCGGTCATTGCCAGTTGTTACTATGTGGTTTGTGAAAGTATGTGATTTACCATTATTTTCTCCATGCACAATAATGACACTATTAGCCAATTGCTAACGTCGGCACAAGATATCCATTTCAAACACAAGACCATAATCTGTGTAGACTTGCGGTAGTACATTGACGCATACATACACTTAACTCTGTGAGAAGATAAAGCACTACAATAAAGAAATATTTTTTCTGATCTAAATGACAAAGATGTTTACTACGAGGCAACAAATCCTGTTTGTATGCAAAACGTTTCAATGCGCTGGCTATGATTCCCAAGCTAGAGTTGGTTACTGAATTTTGTAATTCACGAAAATTGACAGGTTCTCTGAAAGTTTCGAAGCCTCAACATTGCTATAATTCTGAAGGAACTGTTTAGCATGACCATTATTCCGTGAGAAAGCGGACTGCGTGTGTTAGGAGAATGCAGTCAGTTATCAAGCGTCAGCACCCGCCATAACAAATAGGTAACAAGTTACTCAGAAGCGTGTGGTGTGTGCAGGATGCGGATATGCTCAGCCTTGAATTATTATGTAAACTGAATCTTGTAGAGTATTACACTTCGTAAGCGAAACAAAATAAAATATATTTCCTATATCCTTTGAAAGAAATACATCAACCAATTTGCCATCAACCAACTCTTCACAAAATCACAATTAATTATGACCGACTAAAAAATGTGGAAGTCCTCGTAAAAAGTTGTAACAACCACTATTTGATGTCTCTTCGCCCTCAGATCGACGTTCGGACTAGATAAAGGGTCCGTAGCGAGGGAAGTAACACAACCTCACTTTTTGTCTAAAGTATATGACAACTTCTCCTTTTCCAAGATCACGCTATCGTCAAATGTAACTTTAACTGTACTGTACGGAAACACTTACTTGACATGACTTGACCCTGATTACTTGCTGGAACAGTTCTATCTGGTTATCACCTCTAATCCCTTGTTTCCTTAGAGCTCTATACATACACGTCACTAGTATCCATCCGCCATAACATTATTATCTTTCTCAATCTATCGAGCCCTTAATATTTGAATTTAAATATGACCGAAAAAATATTATAGAAGAGTAAAATCTCATTCAATATGTTCACTTTTATCGGAAAATTTTACGTCTTTTTAGGAACATTTTGTTTGAGCGTTTCGGAAAAGTGCCATTCAAAGCTCATTTTCATCCAAAACCTTTCGAGAAACCTTTCAAGAATTTATTTGAATCAATTGTACTCAGAAACTCAATAATTTATAAGAAATGCCCGTAATCTAAATACGACTGACATTAGTTTAAAAAAATCCATTTGGTTATCTTTTGAAAAAACAAAAGATTACATCAAAGTGTCATTTATGCCATGTTGTTTAGTCCATCTAACACTATCCGTACAAAAAATTAAAAGAAAAAACTTAGAGATTTTTCGAGAAAATGAAGTTTGAACGTATCTGAAAATGCTCAATTTGGAGCCCATATGCACAAAAAAATCCGAAATGAATTTTGGAAAAACTTTATGATACACCATTTGAATCATATTTACCCTCAAACCTACTAATGTGTGCAAATCGCTGGTAATGTAGAAAACGTGAGAGATTTCAAAAAATTACATTTGTGTATTATTTTAAGAAAGAAAACAAATGGATATTAACTCTAACCGTAATCCTGAACGTCATCTGCCTCAGACTGTCATAATTGTTCACTGCCTGGAAGGCCGTCCGCGTAGCCATGAGCCCCAAATTCTAAAGGATCTATATAATTAGACGTTTCCGGGTTTGTAGGCCATGGCCTAACCGAGACTGGTCCATACATTTTGCCTGCAACTGTATCAGGCATCATCAGTGGCGTTGCTGGCGGGAGCGAAGAGTCCTCCTTGGCAGCACCGCGTTGATTGACGCTCTCGCGGCTCTGGGACCCTTATTTATGGCGACGTGCAAGGTTCGCACCTGATCGGGTCGCGTCAGTAACGCTCGCGCATGTTCGGTCCACGTCTGCGGTACTGGTTGGCTGCCGAGTTTTGGTGTAACGGAGTGCTGAGTACCATGTACTGTTAATTTTTCACCTTCTTTTCTGAAGTCGTAGGCTTCTACGGCCAGAGTAATGTGCGTGATCTGGACTGCCCGGGTGACGCCTCGTCGAAGGTTGTGTTGCCGACGTTTCGACCGTCCTGTCGTAGTCTTCCTCAGGGCTGGTATGCGAATGTAATTCTTCTTTTTGTTCGAATTGTGTTTGTGTTTGTAAATCTCGATGGCTTCCATTTGGAGTCTCTTGTAGTAGTGTGTGCTGGAGGAGAGAGAACATCCGTCGCTTCAAAGCGCATGTCGTGTCCACGTCCCAACAACGCGTGATCTGCAGCTGCCGATTAATCTGTATGTCCCAAACGGCAGTTCCTTTTGTGTTCTTCTATAGAATAATTGAAACTTCTACCTGTAGTACCTATGTATACGGAACCGCAAGAACAAGGAGTTCTGTACACTCCGGCTAGAGACATGCGGTTCTGGGGATCTCGGGCATGTTGAGTGGGTTTAAAGATTGCTCTAACCCTGTGCCTTTTTAACAGTCTCTATATGCGGTCCGTTACTTTCTTGACATAGGGCAGGAAAACGGTAGCGAGTATTGTATCTTATGTATAGTTTTGTTCAAAGATCGTCCTCTTGGGATTGTAACCGTTGGCTTTTAATCCCTTCGAGTTGTAGTTCTTAGGGTTTGTAAATGCGTTTAGCACAGTCGTAAAGGGTTTTAATCATAGCGCGTTTTGGTCTGGGATGATGATTTGAGTTTTAGTGTAAAGAACGATCCGTTTGCGTAGGTTTCCGGTACACGCATTTTCCAAGGTAGTCTTCTGGATTCCTGTTGACCAAACATGGACCATTGGCTTCCAATCCCCTTCCATGCTCGTAACTCTTGCCGAAGCCTACAAAAATCCCCCTCTCCTTCTACCTACACCACTACTGGTTCCTGTCATTGCCTCCTCGCAATTTGGTTTCGGTGATCGTTGCTTCGTGCTCCTCCGGTCCCTTCGCCTCGCCAAACCATCCCCAAAAGCAAATAGAAACCCCCATCGTAATCACTGACCTTACCCATAACTTGGTTTCGCCAAAGACCCTCATTATGAAAATACGCCCCAGATGCCCAATCACATTTTACTTCTAAATTACTTCACGAACAAACTTTCTACCCCCGCCATCTAGCCATTTCCTCCGCCAACCCCCTGTTAAGGATAAGGTCCCTTAATAGGCCCGCCGTTCTCTCTTCTCTACAATTTTTCATTTTAACGATATTCCTCTTTTCCCCGGTATCCAAACTATCAACCACGACCATTCGCTCAAACAATTCCTCACATATACACAAAAATCCCTCAACGTCCATTTCTGGAACAAAGAAAACACAAAATCGCAAGCAATATTTCTCTCGCAGAAAAAAGCACTATCCAATCCATCTCTCAACAACTAACACCCACCCGTTGGCAATCCCACGAACACACCCTGGTGACAACTTGTCCCAAAAATTCCTTTGACCGCATCACATCCAGAAAACCACTACCAAAGCCAGTAGAATCGTCTATACCCAGTACAATCTAAAGTTAAACACCGAATAATTGGCCTCATCATCCGACCTCTCTTCATAATATACACGATTTAATAGTAACATTAAAACCTCCACAACCTGCATTTTCTTCATTACATTTTTGAGTCTGCAAAAATCCAAATACAGATCTTCAACGCCAATTCAATTTTCGGAAAACTTCCGCCAGGACTTCCTTACAAATCTATCCAAATAATATCTAACAAA